GTGAAGGTGGTGTGTGGAGGGACATTGTTGGGACGCCTGTTGTTGGGGTGCTATGGCTCGGTAACTGAGTGCCTTGTGTTAAATTCCGGTTCAATTGAGGGTTGTTGTTGCTCATGCCCCTTATTGAGAAACCTAGTGCACCTACAAAATGAGTCAGGCAGAGAAACACGGATCGAATGGTGCTCAGAATTAGGGCTGTGCGATTAATCGAAATCGAATCGAAATCGCGATTTGAGACGTTGCAATTTCCTAATCGCAAAGCCTGCGATATGGACGCGATATTACTCTGTTCCAGAGCATATGCATGACTGCCAGCCTTGAGTTGCAGTCTTACTAACCAATAGACACATTATTGGCAATATTGAGCTGAAGCTTGACTTTGCAAATTTAAAATCGCAAATCAAATCGCAATCGCAAGATCTGTAAAAAAAATCGCAATTTGATATTTTCCCCCAAATCGCACAGCCCTACTCAGAATCAGAGTTTATTGTGTTTTTATTAGCAGCACAACAACTTTTCAGTACTATAAGCTGGACTGAAGACTTGTACTCACTTTGAGGACCATATAAACTCGCACCAAGCTGTGACAATTGACCTGACGATGACGGCGAGGGAGATGGCAGCATCTGAAAACCAAGAGAAGTTAAAACATCTCATTTGAATTGGCATGCTTTAACATTATGTGGCAACTAATTAGACACAGGCATTAGAAACATTTTTATATTTTCATTTATATTTACATATACACTACAGTTCAAATGTTTGTGGTCGGTAAGAGTTTTTCATGTTTTCGAATTTAGTTTTTTATTATCACCCAGTCGGCATTTATTTGATCAAAAATACAGTAATATCATTAAACATTATTACAATTTAAATGAAACATTTTCTATTTGAATATATTTTAAAATGTAATTTATCCCTGTGATGCAAAGCTGAATTTTCAGCATCATTACTCCAGTCTTAAGTGTCACAAGATCCTTCAGAAATCATTCTAATATGCCGATTTGGAGCTCAAGAAACATTTCTTATTATTATAAATATTGAAAACAGTTGTGCTGCTTAATATTTGTGTGTAAACTCTGCGATATGATATTTTTTTTCAATACTTCATGAATAGAACGTTTAAAAGAACAGCATTTACTTGAAAAAAATCTTTTATAACATTATAAATGTTTTTACTGACAATCTGGATCAATTTAATACATTCTTGCAGAATAAAAATATTAATTTATTTGAAATTTTTTTTTTTGAAGAGTATTGTATATGTCTCATAAACATTTCTCTCTCTATATTTCACTTACTGACAAATGAAACACTTTTTTTGAGCCAATGCAACATAAAGAACAAATGACGCACATTAGATGTGTATTTGCTTCATCTGTGTATTTTATCACTGTAATGCTGCCATCTAGAATTAGATGAAAATCAGTTCGTCACAACTTGCAGTTCAGTTCTCCTCATAAAACGGCTAAAGTGTAGTGTTTTCAGTACACAAAATACCATTTTCACCAAGTTCTACCATGAACATTTATAATTATGTCATAATTAGTTTCCACCATGATTCTCTGACACGCTCCCAACTTCAAAAGTCTGGAAATTATGACTTCATGTTGGCGTTCATGTGCGCTCAACTCGTAAACATGACCATTCTGACTTGAATGCATCAAGAATTGTCTCAGTATTGTAATTTATCAGTATATATATATATAAGTGTTTGGTATAGATTACTTGTGCCACTAAAATTATTAATAAAGTTTTTTTTGACAAACGTGTTATATAAATATTTTTAATACATTTTAAAATACTTTTTTGACATCTGCTTAAAAAATATTTTTTATTGGTGGTGAGGTCAGTGAAGAAGCTGACAGTGAAACGTGAAGTGAAATATATAATATTAAGCATTAATAATAATGTAATATTTTGTCATTCTATCGGACCTCCAGTCAACAAAAGCATTCGACACAACTAACATAACATTAGTTATGTTCCATCATGAATTAACTAGTATCAGCTTACGTCTTTCTCCGATCGATGCGGGAACATTGACGTCTGGCCATAGTACATGCTCTCATCAGAGTAGTCACTTTCGACCCCCTCCGCAAACTTCTTTCTCGTTGCACTGAACATTCCGTTTGTCACCTACAGAAGAGAGGAGATGGTTAAAACCAAGATATTTAATTCCTGAACCAAAATCACACCAGATTATCTTTCCACACATCTAGTAGACCTATCATTAACAAGTTCTTCTATATAACGTACAGTACAACTCAGAACTTGTAATAAATAATGAATTACCACTGCAGAACAAGACCAAGGATACATGTTGATTTTAAGTGCATTATAAAAAGGTTCAGACTATTTTGTCAACCCAATTTACACCTAAATCTTACAATTAGATGTGCAAGATGAAACTTGTGTAATTCAGCGAACAGACTCATGCTATAAGAACATTTAATGCTGCTATGGCGGTACGAGGTTAAATAAATAATTTATTCATCCATTCAAACAAAGCAGATATTTGCCGTATGGTTGGAAAACAAATAAATATCGCTTTGCAAACTGACACCTGACAACACTCACAAAAACAGCTTAATTCACCAGCTAAATCCATGAAGAAACATCAATTACTAGCTAACGTTAGATACTTCAACATAGTCCCATTTCCACATACCGCAACATTATTAATAATATTAAAACTGGTTCCTACATGTTATGATGTTACGCACATAACTACAAGGAGAAATAAATTAAATAAATAATGGCATGTCGCGAAATTTTCTCATTTATATAAAGCTAGTTAGCTTTGTCGTTAGCTGTGTAGCTGCTAAACATAACACATTTTCGGCATAAATAAAGGTTTTAATGGAAACCAAAACACATTGAACCATCTAATCTATACTAGTCGTGGTACTTTAGTTTTATAACAGATGTCTGCCCATGCATAATACATGTATCTATCTGTTTAAATGGCTTAGGCCTGAGTTTCGGCTGTCTGTTTTTGTTAGCGCTCAACGCTAGTCGGCTAACTCTGGCCTCGAACAAAAACAGAAACCAGTAAAGCCGTGCAAACGTGTCAATGCCTTCATTCAGCGACTTAATATCTGCTTGGATATGCGCATAACGCTGCAAATGTTCATTTGGCCCTGTATATGCGATGCAAACCCTGTTTTTTGGTGAAAAAGTAATTGACTAACCGCATTAATTTACCCTCTCCTCGCAAGATCCAAGATGGCTGTGTATCCTACAGGCGAGAATGCTGGGGGAATAGCCTTTACCCTCTGACCCCCTGACCTTCAGTTTATTTCATACTAGACTGAAAATTGTGCTGGACACAGTCTGATGTGTATTAGACACTCTAAAGGGCACTTGTGAGATTTTATTATGTTATATTGGGATGAAACAGATTGCAGTCACTCTTTTTATATCTGAAACATCATTGGCACACAGTTTCAGTAGTTGATATTTTGCAATTATAATATTTTATAATAATATTTAGTAATCAGCCATTTAACAAACCCTGCTTAGAATACAGATTATCTTATAATCATAGAGAATATTTATAATGTATATTTTACATCTGCAGCCAGATGCAGCTAACGCATTGATTAAGCATTCATACATTTGCACTGTAATTTGAACTGTCTGACACAAAGGGTTTTTAAGATTGAGTTGTAAAAGAGTTGTAAACCTTTCGCTGATGAGTCTATGGCCTGTTTCATGTTACACTCGACTGCAGCTATAAACGTATATTTAGCCAGTGATTATCGCAAAATAATGCCAGATGGGGTGATCTTGCATCACATTAAAGGGGTTTCTTAGAATAATGTTAACCTAAGACCCTATTTTAGTCATAAATCCAAAGCCACTAGCTTGCTATGTAGCATAGATGCTAGTAGCATTTCGTGCTGATATTACTTTAGCAACAGAAAATATGGTCAATATGCATGATAATGCTATTTTTATTTCCTAATCTTTTGTAAGATATGCTTTTATGTAACAACATACAAATCTAGAGTGAACTATATCTATTGTTTGAAGAAAGACATCTGTCAGTTCCACACGCAGTAAAAGACTCACAAATACATTCCATTCAGTAAATCTGCCTGAATCCAGATTTAAGCTGTTCATAGCCACAGTTTGAAGTTTTGGTTCCTTTTTTTAATGTATATTTAAATACATTATCCCTTAACCCCCTAGAGCAGCCTAAAAGAAGTGGTTAAATAGTCCTCAGAGGTTTATGTTGAACGTTTACATTTTAAATCACATTTAGTTGTGATTGTTATAACTCACTTGATCCCGTTTCCCACTTTCTGCCTGTTCTCTGTGTGAAGTGGTACTCAAGCCTTTCAGACAGCACTTGAGGGTTCTCAGACATAGTCTAAATCACTGGAGACCTTTGATAGACCACTAGCTAAGCCTTGAGTTGTGAGAAGGATGCCTGGGAGTGCAATATCATCAAGTGTTGCATTTACTCAGAAGTGATTTACGACTTTTGGATTAAGGAACAATATTAATTTTTGATAGGGGGAAAAATGATATCTTAAGTGTAGAAAATGTTCATAAAACAACTTCAAGTCTGGTTTGATCTCAATGGTGAACCTATAACTATAACTCTCTCTCTCTCTCTCTCTCTCTCTCTCTCAATTCAATTCAATTCAATTCAATTCAAAATTGCTTTATTGGCATGACTGTAAATGATACAATATTGCCAAAGCTTAGCATACATGTACAAAAAGATAAAAAATAATAATACAATAACAATAATAATAATTAAATGAACATCACAGTAATAGAATGGAATATGATAACATCTTAGAAGTATTAAACTGTAACAAATTATAACATCTCAGAACTAGCTGACTGAGTGGACTCCTTTCGGGGTTCAGTTCTTGGGTTTGTATTGCTTTAAAATGTAGCGTTTCTGTGGGACTTGATTTAAGATGCATCCAGAATTTGAGGGATCTTTTATGCATATTAATAATCAATGGGAATCGGCCTAATTCTGCCCTACATGCATTATTGGGTGTTTTTCTTTGTAGTTTTAGAATCATTTTGCAGAATTCTGTGTGTAGGGCTTCTGTTGGATGTCTGTCCCATCTAGTGTAGCTCTGATCACTGAGTGGACCCCAAACCTCACTTCCATACAGCACTATGGGCCGAATCACACTATCAAAGATTTTACACCAAATTGGAAGCGGTATTTCAATATTTTGGAATTTTTTCTTGATTGCGTATAGAGCTCTTCGAGCTTTATCTTTGAGAGCATTCACTGCCAAACTGAAACTCCCCGATGCAGTGATGATCAGGCCGAGGTAAGTGTACTGCATCGTGTGTTCTAGGGCGGTGCTGCCTAGACTGAACTGGTATCTGTGTTCCTGACATCTGGGCTTTTTCTGAAAGACCGAGTTTGTTTGTCAATTCTTTATATGTAATTGGGAAGTCAAGTGGATTTTGATTATTTTTAATTGTGTCTTCATACGTTTGTAGATTTTGTTTGATCAGATTATAATTGTCATTGAGTTGTTTTGGTGGGATTTCTTTATATAAGTTTTCAAAATGTATTGTCCAAATTTCTCCATCTTGTATTGGTAGGTCTTCTGGTTTTGTTGTGCTCAGATTATTCCACATATCCCAGAACTGATTATGGTTTATTGAATGTTCTATTTCTTGTAAACTTTTGGTCAGATGGTGCTGCTTTTTTGCTATAATTGTGTCTTTGTATTGTTTTAGTTTTGAACAGTATTCAGTTCTTATGTTGGTGTTGTATGGTTGTTTATGTTTCAGATTTGATAATTTTCTAAGTTTTTTTCTTAATGTTTTGCAGTCTGAGTCAAACCATTTTTCATCTTTTGTTGTTTTTTAGTGCATTTTTTGCCTTTCTTTTTCAATTCACTTATATATGCTGCTTTTTGAAATATGTAATTGATTTCATTTGTAGCCAAATTAACACCTTCTTTGTTTATTTTTTTATTTATAAATATAGTGATTAGATTCTTCAGTTCTTCAGAAATCAGAGCTTGGATACATTTTTCTGCTGCTGTCTGGAGTCCATTTGTATCTCTGCTGGACCTGATACATTTTAGGAGGACGGGTCCATGTCACACGTGACAACAACACGTGAACCTCCCTAAAGAGTCCCCTCTGATCCTGCCATTACAGGCCTAAAGCTCGGCAGAGATGCACTAACTCTGATCCATTTTTATTTACAGTTTGGTCAAGATTATTTCTCGGTGGAAGTTTTCTTGTGAGACTCGGGGAGTTTTGGCCAAAGATATATTCATTGCCCTTTGGATCTATGTTATCGGGTTCAGATCCAGTTCTTGCATTAAAGTCTCCACATCATTGGATTTTGTTCAGGTATTCCTCATCATGGTAAGGGGATTCTGCTGGGGGAATATAGATGGCACAGAGATATATGTCAGTAGTTTAAATGCCAATTTGGTTGTTTAGTTTTAACCAGCAGTGAAATTTTCAAATGTAGTAATAGAAATGTGTTTGGCCAGAGCTTCCCTGTACCACACCAGAATTCCTCTCCACGATGCACATCCTAAATCCAAATACTGTGGTATGCCATGTGATATCGACAGCCTCTGTTGGTTATCCATAACTGGGCAAGTCTTGTCTTTGGGGTGGTGCACTCAAATGGTCTCTGTTATGCAGAGGGTCCTGACTGAGATAAGTGCTTAAATAGAAGGTCTCAGATGACCCTCAAATTCCTTAATCACATGACAACTTTAGTCTTATCACAGCTCCCGGCCAGCTCCACCTTCCAGCGCTGGAAGAAATCATTTAGCCGGAATAGGGAGGAGCGTGCGGAATGTCATCTCTGGTGCTGTCTGTGTCTGGCAGGGCAGAGGTGTCAGCAGAACACAGGAGCATGAAAAACCACACTGCCGCCCATCGTCTCATTCCTTGTGTCAAAAAAGCTTGATGCTAAATGAAGATCTACGTTTTCTGCAACCTGGTAAGCCGAAAGGAACATTCAAGTTTTTATCTTGTCTTTTCATTGTGCCATTCATAAGACTGGTCAACACTCTTAAAAATAAGGGTTCTTTATTGGCATTTATGGTTCCATGAAGAACCTTCAATATCCGTGGAATCTTTCCATTCCACAAAAGGTTCTTTATAGTGGAAAAAAGTTCTTTAGATTTTTATGTACTTCACAATAAGCAAAAAAGGTTCTATTAAGAAGTGGTCACTGAAAGGTTCTTTGGAAAATCAAAAATGGTTTTTCAATGGGATTGCTGTGAAAACCTCCTGTTGGAGCCTTTGTTTTTAAGAGTGTACCATTATTTTATGAACCCTTATTTTGTTTCTGAAGAGACCATGAATGTGGACCGAGAAGATGGGAAATGTAGTGCGAGGTGCTGTCGCCTTCGTGCCCTCCGAGAGATGTCAACGTTTCTTATGCGACTTGAAGGAGATGCCCCTTGATCGTACTCTAGACCTGAGTAGCCGGCAGTTACGTCGCCTTCCCATCAGAGCTTCTGCCTTCGATGAACTAGTCAAACTCTACCTGAGTGACAACCACCTGAGCAACCTGCCGCCAGAACTGCGAAACCTGCAGAAGCTCCAGATTCTAGCCTTGGACTTCAATTGTTTCGAGGAGCTTCCTCTGGTCATATGCAGCCTCGTTCAGCTAAACATCCTCTACCTCGGTAATAACCGACTGTACAGACTGCCGAAGGAACTGCGGCATCTCACCGAGCTTAAAACGTTGTGGCTGGAGACCAACTGCTTCACCAAGTTTCCTCGAGTAATATGTGAGCTTCCCAACATCAAGACCCTGCATTTGGGATACAATCAGCTACATAGGTTACCGGCTGAGCTCGAGCGACTGGAGGAGCTACGCAGCATCTGGTTAGCAGGAAACTTGCTAAATGATTTCCCCCCCGTGCTGCTGAAGATGCATTACTTGGAGGTGATCGATGTGGACCGTAATCGTATTCGCCAGTTTCCGTCGCTTGCCTACTTGAGAGGCTTGAAGCTTGTCATCTACGACCACAATCCTTGCGTTAATGCTCCAGTGGTGGACGAGGGTGTGAGACGGGTAGGCCGCTGGGCCGACAGCTCTGATGATGAGGAAGATGAAGGTGACGGAAAGGTTGCCAAAGCAGGCATGAAGGCGCAGGGATCACTGGAAGAGAACGAGTGAAGAAGATCAGTCAGAAGAAGAACCGTAGATCAAGCTGCTATACAAAGAGCATGTTGATACTGATGGAACTGCAGAGGAAGACTGGGGAAATACTGAGGTCATTGCACTATGAATGTAGTGTCTTTTACATTTTTATTATATATATATATGTGACCCTGGACCACAAAACCAGTCATAAGGGTCATTTTTTTCAACAAATACCCGACAGAAAACTGCTGCGGGGTTTTATTTATGACGTGCTGACACAAATTTCAAATGGTTTTCAACGGTCGTTTGATCGCGTCCAGTGTAGGCAGACTTTAGCTGTTGTAGACACGGTGTTACTCACCTATTGAGAAGAAACAAAGCAACCTCGGAGTCCGATCGCGGGCCTTCTGCTCCTTCAGTTCTCTCAAGCTAATCCGATATTTACACGGGTCCTACTTCTTGCCTTAAC